CATCTGGAAATGGAAGAGTTAAAAAAAAATTCCAAACACAAACACTTTGGCGTTTGAAACGTTGATAAAATCTACTCCTGAACGCAAGTTTGCTGCATAAAAAAAAAAAAAAAAAAAAAAAAATACAGTAAACTCAACTGCCTGTTAACAACTGTAAACGACTACGTGTACATGGACATAGGAAAACATTAAGGAGAGCTCAAGGCTGCTGAAAAAAAACACAAACACTCCTAAACGTGAGTTTATCAGCTGCAGTGTACATGGAGCCTAAAAATGTTAGTGGAGTCAAATCTGCTATTCTAACACTACCCCCAAACTGACAATGCTGCTGTCCAAAGGTGTCGGTTTTGCTACGTCATTTATAATGCAGACACCCTAAGACAGGAAATGTGTTGCTGGCAGGATCACCAGATAAAATAAAGGGAAAAGGGCCCCAAAAAAATCCTCATTCAGCCACTACACATAAGGATTGGTAAACTGTAATATGTTTCATTTTTGTTTTTGGCTTTAAATAATATGTAACCCCATCATTTCATATTCCTGATATGTGCATGCTGTACCATGTACTTGTATGAAAAAGTATCCTGTTCTCTTTGTATTGCTTTGTTTCTGTGAAAACAATTTTACAGCATTTTCTTGTGTGTGTTTGTACATGTACGTAGTTGCAGAGCAGCCCTATCCACTCAAATGGCTGTGCTCTACAGAGGTACCGCCCTTCAAATGCAACACACTATTTAATTCTTACTGTGGCCATAAGGCAAAGCATTGCAAGCGCGGCATGTGAACAGTCCTGAATGGCTGCATACCCTTCTTTAGTTGGCCAATTGGGGGGGGGGGGGGGATATGAGTGGGCGCAAAAGTGCTTGCCCTCACCACCCCTTGTACATGCCCTACAATTCTAAGAAAAAGGAAATAAATATGTAAGTATCTGCTTTTTAACCAAAATAATAAACTGTAACTAAAGGCAAAACTTTTTTTTTTTTAGTTTTGGATAGAGTGGAGAAGAATTAGAATGCCTGTCAGTTTTTATTACTGTCTGTGCCCCCTTTAGAGAGATTCACCCCATTTATCCTGTTTACCATTATCATCAAAAGTAAAAGAAAACCCCAAATTTCAGCTTGTTCCCAGAATAGTAATAGAGGGGAAATCTTCCAATAGGAACACTAGTTCTGGTAACAACTAGGGATGAATCAAAAATGATCAGCAGAAAATAGAGTTATCTGCATTTTGCCAATAGAAAAAGAAGGTACTGATAATGGCATGCTGCATCCCATAGACTTCAAAGCAAAACAACCCTAATGCAGAGCCGCACCCCCGTGGACTCCAATGCAAAGCCGCACCCCCCCCGTGGACTCCAATGCAAAGCCGCACCCCCGTGGACTCCAATGCAAAGCCGCACCCCCGTGGACTCCAATGCAAAGCCGCCAGCCACATTAATTAAATTAAAAAAAATTTTTTTTAAAACTGTCTGTTTTGGTTTTCAGCCAATTGCATCCTGAATTTTAGATTTCGGCACTGGAATTTTCATTTCGGTGCACCACTAGTTTTTTATATCTATAAATAAATATATTGCCTTTCATTTCTGTTTTAAACGGAATGGGTTGTTTTACAAGGTGAGGGTTTAGTCTCTATAATACCGCCATAAGGCTAGGTTCACATTTGGGCTGGCGCTTCTTGAAACAGTTTTACAGCATTTTTCTGTTATTTAAATTGGTGCTAATGGTTTTTTACCTTCATGCCTATGCATGATGGTAACAAACCTCCTGTGTGCAGCAGCTACCCCAGCCCCCTCAATACTTACCTAAGTCCCCCTCTCAATCCAGCAATGTGCACTGGCGTTTTGGCTATCCTGGGAACCCCCTTCTCACTGGCTGAGAGAGAGGTGGGAGCCATTGGCTCCCAATGCTGTCAATCACAGCCAGTAAGCCAATGATAAGAGAGGGGAGTGGGGCCGAGCCACAGCTCCGTGTGTGAATGGACAAGCAGAGCAGCGGGTGCCCATAGCAAGCTGCTTACTGTGGGGGCACCCAACAGGTGGGAGGGGCTAGTAGAGCCTGCAGGGCACCAGAGAAGAGGAGGATCCAGGCTGCTCTGTGCAAAAACACTGCACACAGGAGGAAGTATAGGCATGTTTGTTTTTTTTTTTTAAAAAGAAATAAGCCTTGATGGCCAGTTCACATTATAGAAATGCAGTCCAGATGTGTTTCTGCATGCATTTTTTCCCCTTTTTCTTCAATTTAAATAAGGACATGTGCATTCCAGTGCAGTTCTGTGCAGGAAAAATGCAGCATGTTCTACTTTTTTTCTGCAACTGGAACTGCAAGCACTGATGTGAACTATTACAATGACAACCATATAACCTACTTTCTGTACGTTTTGGATGCAGAAAAAAAAAAAAAAAGCAACTGAAAACGCATGTAGTGTGAACTGGCCCTTAGAATCACTTTACGTGGATCTAAATTAGTGGTGCACAGAAATGAAAATTCTTGGCCCGAAACCGAAAATTCAAAATGCGTTTGGCCAAAAACCGAAACAAGCAGTTTTTAAAACTGAATATATATTTTTTGGAAAAAACTACACTGATTAAAAAAACAAAAAACCACAACATATACCCCAAATTTTTTGTAAAATATGAAAGAGGATGTTTCGGCGAGTAAATAGATACCCAACATACCACACATTAAAATTGTTCACGCTAGTGGAATGGCGTGAAACTGCAGTACTTAAAAATCTCCATGGGTGCTGCTTTAAAAAGGTCTACAGGTTAGCAGTGTAAAGTTACAGAGGAGGTCTAGTGTGAGAATTATTGCTCTTGCTCTGACGTTCATGGCGATACCTCACGTGTGTGGTTTTAACACAATTTACATATGTGGGTATGGCCTAAGTATGCATTCACCACTATATATACTAAAGAAGATGCGAGCGCCTAAATGTGAAAACCAAAACTGCTGTGCACAAAAAGGTAACCAATAGCACCTTAAACATAGACAATAAACAAAAAAGTGCAGCGCTAAAATATATATAAAATAAATGTCCAGATGATTCCACGTTTAAAATCACCAAACTATTGGAATCATCTGGGCATTTATTTATATATATTTTAGCGCTGCACTTCTTGTTTATTGTCTATGCGTTCACCACTACATGCGACGGGGGAACTTTAAACCTTTGTATTATTTAATGGCTTTTGGGTTTTTTTTGCACTGTCCCTTTAAAAAAAAATGTGTTATCACTTTTATTCTTATCACAAGAAATGCATGCATCCCTTGTGATAGAAATAATTAGTGACAGGTCATCTTTATGGAGAGATGTGGGGTCAATAGGACCCCACATCTCTCCTCTGCAATGTAAAGCATTAGATAAAAAAAAAAAGGTATTGATCTAGTGCTTTAAGAAAAAAATGGCTGGAACCGGAAGTGACATCACTCCGGTCCTCCAAGGGCATAGAGATGAGTGGAGGCCATCTTTCCTTCACTCATCTCTATGCCCAGCGCCGGGATCGTTCAATAGTTTCTCAGGTAAGACTGGGAACTACCGAGGCGATAGCAAGGTTTTTTTGGCACCTTTTTTTCATACCGGCAGCACAGTGGCTAAATGGTTAGCACTTCTGCTGGCAGTACTAGGGTCATTGGTTCGAATCCCAGCCACAGCACCACCTGCCTGGAGTTTGCATGTTCTCCCTGTGCCTGCGTAGGTTTCCTCCCACACTCCAAAGACATGCTGGTAGGTTAATTGGATCCTGTCTAAGTTGTCCCTAATATGTGTATGAATGTAAGTTAGGGACTTTAGATTTTATACCCCTTGAGGGTTAGGGACTGATGTGAATGTACTATATATATATATATATATATATATATATATATATATATATATATATATATATATAAAATAAATATATATGTAAAGAGCTGCGTAAAATTGACAGCGCTATATAGTACCTATAATAAATATCTGCAGAAATGTTTCGGCCACTGAAATTTTGGTGCATCCCTAATCTAAGGCTAGCTTCACATCTGTGCAGGTGGTGTCGCTGTGGATCTGCACGAAAATCCGTGCACCTGCACAGAGGAATGAGGACCTGCGGGCGGGTGCCATTAGTTCTAATGACACGCTGCCCGCACTGGAAAACGGCACCATACTGGGAACCGAGGTTCCCATGTGGGCTATGGTTTCATAAGAAGTGCAGGGACTTTTTCCCTACGGGGCACGGGAGTCCATTCAAATGAACAGGCTCTCGTGCTCGCACGGCCGCATATATGTGAACCAGGGGTCACTGCTTGGAGGCAGAGGTAGGCATACAGGTCATGTGACTGCTGTTATGGGCGGTCACATGATGGGAAGAGTCCCGATCACAAGTATGCACCAGGTGGTTTTGTTTACGTTAGTTGCTGGAAATGCGCTCTCAGCGCCCATCTCCAGTACTGCAACTAAACTTACCGCCCTTGCAAGACGCACATTCATTGGTAACGGCACCCAAAACGCATCTCGCCAACATGGCACCTTTGCGGCCACCGAATGGCATGGTCCTGCAACGTCACGCAGTTTGGAGAGTCACAATCTGTAAAAGTAGTGCTTGCACTTCCTGTGTTCCGCTACATTTGGCAACCAATGAAAAACCAGAAGACGCCAGACTTCATGCGAACGCATGTGAACCGGCGCCTAACACTAAACTTTATTCTAGAACGATCTCTCAGATTTAGCGCTCCTACATTTACATCATTTTAATGCAGAATATTCTGGAAACATTTGAGTTCCTCACATAATGGCCCCATTGTTGTTCTTCTGGAATGTATGGCCCCATTACTCTCACCCCAGGTATGTATACAGAGCACTGTGTGTTCACTCCTTGCCCCTGCTCGGGGGAGATTTCCTCACAACACACTGAAGTCCAGTGACAGAGACCAGAGGAGCACACTACATTCACGCACAGCAGTCAGCGCGTCCACGTGCGGCGCGCCCCCGTGTCTTTGTGACTGCCCCGCACAGTGTCCCGGACCCACCTTAGAGTAGGGCACAGTCCAGCTCCCCGGCTCCGGCACCGCCTCCACCCCCGGAGACACAGCGAGGCCCAGGCACAGCAAGAGGAGGCTTGGGGACAGCAGGCGGCTGATGGGAGCAGCAACCATATTGCAGCCACTGAGTACTCCGTACAGCGGCCGTGTCTTCTACTTCCTTCTTCTGTACGGACAACCCGGAGTCTGCTCACCTGGCCGGCTGTGACATCACCGCTTCACCTGGAGGAGGCGCTCTGCTACTACGCCCCTTTAGCATGACCACAGAACAGCCACTTCTGCTTATGGGGTTTACATTACAGTGCGACAATAGAGGAATCACTTGTAAAGCCTTTGTACAGAAGATGTCCCGTTTTCATGGCAAGGGTCGCCATTTTCTTGAAGATTTATTTGCATTGAATCCTATGGGTGTGTCCCCACAAAAATGGCACCTGAGAGTTCTGCAGGAGAGTTGTCCCTCTTGTTTCCAGCGTGGAAATGAGATGTCATCACTCGGCATGTGGTGTGTGTGAAGGAATGCCATGTAGTGACATGTAATGAAAGGGAAGGAATGAGGCTGGAAACATTGCAGTTGCTAGAGATGACTTGTTAGTTCGGGAACTGCTACCTTCATCCTGGATTCATGACCTGGAATATGTATGGAGTTTAGGATTGCCACCTCATCCCTTGAAAACCGAACACATATACAGGTTCTGAGGCTAATTTAATGCAGATAATGTACTACGTTTAATTTCCACCTTAATCAGCCACAGAACTTGTGTAATTAACTTCTTCACGCCAGTGCCTCCATACCCTTTAAGGCATTTCAGATGCCGAAGGCGGGGTTTTAGGGTCACGTGACCACTGTGATTCGCTGTCATATGATCGGAAAAGGTCCCAATCGCAAGGGGAGATCGGGACCTTTCCGAGAGACACCGACATATGTGCTGGGAGCGCGCAGGGTGCGTGCTGTCAGCACGTGTTTTCAAATGGTACGCAAATATGCGGCCCGCTCGGCGTTAACGCCCAGCCACCAAGAGGCCGCATATTTGCATACGGTTGGCATCAAGGGGTTATGTGTTCAGGCTTAAAGGGATGAGGTGGCAACCCTAATGGAGCTAAGGAAGTCTAGGGGAGGCAGATATCCCTTGTTGCATGATTGTTTCAGTCTAAGGCCCTGTGTACACGGGACGTTTCTGAACGATGGAAACTGACTGCTGGAAAATGTAGGTTAAAAAAACGTCTGTTTAGCCGTGTTTACATAACGCGTTTATGCGCGTTTAGGTTTAGAAGTGTTTTTTAAAGATAAGCACAGGAGAACCTCCCAAATGCCCAGAATGCACTGAAAAGTGGTAAAATATTAACTATGTCAGACTGTTTCAGAGAAATACACAGAGTAGAAGCAGACACAGCAGTATGTGTTGACATTAGCTAGGTGTGAGTTGCTCATTAACATTTCTTTTGTTTCCAAGGGTGGGAAGGTGTCTTCTGGAGTGAGTCATTAAGGTCACCTGGCAGGGGGTCTTCATGAGGAATTTGAGGTGTGAATGGGCATTAACATATCTTTTCTTTCCAAGAGGGGAGAGGTCTGAGGTGTGAATTTGTCATTACAATGTGTGACAAGCTTGGTAGGAATATCCTGTGTTCAGTGTTTTGTTCATCTGAGCACCTTGAAAATCCTTTGCATGCATTTTTTCATGATGAAAAAAGGCTCTGGACAGCATTGGGAATTTCAGAAATTCAAACGTGATTTGCCACGTTTACAAGCGTTTTACATTTGAAACGCTGATAAAATCGACATCTGAATGCAAGTTTGTTGCGTTCAAAAAAAACCGACTGTAAACTCAACTGCCTGTAAACGACTGTAAACAAAGATGTGTACAGGTCTTATAGACGGGGGTGCTGGGCTCTGTCCTCACAGCTGCAGGAGACTCTGAGAAGGCAGGAGCACTTTGCTTGCAGAACCCTGATTTTGGAATCCTACATCTAATTGGGAGGAGGAAGATCTGTTGCTGCATCCATAAAGGAAGGACCCATTTTCTGTGACCGGATCAGCTTTGTTTCCTTCTGGGTTGAGGATCCATGGGCTTTGGATATATACTGCGTTTATATATCTTCTTTCTGGTGAGTGCGTTTTTCAGCCACTTCCTCACGGATCACCCAACATTGAATTCCCACTTGTCACTTGACACGTTTTTATGAACTGGACTTGCAGTGGACTCATTTCTGTTTTATGATTACTACCCTCAGCGCTGCACTATTTGTTATGTGATTCTAAAGGTTCATTTGTGTTTTTTGTAAAATAACAACCATCTATTTTTACCTGCTGTGTGCAGTGGTTTTGCATAATGCAGCCTGGATCCTCCTCTTTCTCAGGTCCACTGCAGGCTCTCCTGGCTCCTCCTGTCTGTCAGGTGCCCCCACAGCAAGCAGCTTGCTATGGGTGCATCCACTGCTCTGTGTCCATTCACATACAGACCTGAGGCTTTGCCCCACCCCCCTCCTCATTGGCTGATTGGCTGTTATTGACAGCAGTGGGAGCCTGCTTGCTGTCTCAGCCAATGAGGAGGCAGAGACCTGGGACAGCCAAGTCTGTAATTTATTTATTTATTTCAGGTACTTATATAGCGCTGTCAATTTACGCAGTGCTTTACATGTGTATTGTGCATTCACGCCAGTCCCTAACCCTCAAGGGGTGCACAATCTAAGGTCCCTAACTTACATTCATACGTACACATACTAGGGCCAATTTAGATAGGAAACCGGAGTACCCAGAGAAAACCTACACAGGCACAGTGAGAACATGCAAATTCCAGGCAGGTGGTGCAGTGGTTGGAATTCAAATCAACGTCCTTAGTACTGCAAGGCAGAAGGCTAGCCTTTCAGCCACTGTGTTGCCCACATTGATGGATCACGATTGAGGGGGCTGGGGGAGCTGTTTCACACAGAAGGTTTTTTACTTTCATGCATAGAATGCATGAAGGTAAAAAACCTTTAGCCTTTACAACCACTTTAAAGTGTTACTAAACCCAGGACCCTGCATTCACTATATCTGGTCTCCCACAGTACACAGAACATGTAAATGCAATTATTTTAGAAAATATAAACTGCTAAATACCAGGTGTCTGGTAATCCTTTGTGCAAGTTCAGGGGTTACCTGATCCTGTCCAGACTGAACAAGATGCTCGAAGATCTCAAGGCCAGAAAAAGAGTGCGAGAAAATGTGGGCACTGGTGACGGTGCTTGTAGTCATCACATCACTGGAGGGGTGGTGAGTATAGTTCCACATTATAGATGTTATGGTTTTCATAACATGCACTGATGAAGGTACATTATTCAATATTGTCATAGCAGCACAGTTTGTTTCTATCTACTGGCGTCTCCTAAAGTGTTACTAAACCCCGGACCCTGCATTTACTCTATCTGCTCTCCCCCCACAGTACATAGAACATGGAAGTGCAATTATTTTAGAAAGTAAAAACTGCTAAATACCTTTTCTCATCAGTTAGAGTAGTCTTGGGACTTCTATCAGTGTCCAGCCGAGCACATGTCAAAGCTTGTAGGAGGAGTTTTCATTCTGTTCTAGGAGGATGCAGAACCCCTGACTCTCTGGACAGTGCTGATTGGCCCTGTGCTGATCACATGCCCTCTCCTAAGAAAAAAAAACCTCTCTAGCAATACACACTAAAATGAGCATGTGCAGAGTAACTCCACACGATATGTCTTATCAGGAGATAAGACGGAGACACTGGAAGAAGGGGAGGATCAGAGAAGTCATGGTCAAACAGCGCTTTTACACAATACAGCGGTATTTGATTAACCCTGTAGGTTCCACAGCGAGTATAACAAGCATTCTTTACTGCATATACAGACTGATTTTACTGTTGTGGGTTTAGTATCACTTTAACAGCAACATTATTTTTTTTTATTTTGGATAGAGTAAGGGAGGGTTATATCCCTTGTCAGTTTTTTTTTAGCTATCTGTGTCCCATTGGGGAGATTTACATTCACTTGCTGTCCAATACCTAAAACAGGAAGTGAGAGGAAATCCCTTTAAAGTGTTACTAAACCCAGGACCCTGCAAATGCAATTATTTTAGTAAATATAAACTGCTAAATACCTTTCTCATCAGCAGTTAGAGCAGTCTTGTGACTTCTATCAGTGTCTGGCCAAACACTGGTTAAAGCTTGTGGGAGGGGTTTTCATTCTCCTCTGACTGTCCTATGAGGCTCCATGACCCCTGACCCTCTGGACACTGCTATTTGGCCCTGTGCTTATCACATGCACTCTCCATCCCCCCCCCCCCCCCAAAATAAAATCTACAGTTGTGGCCAAAATTATTCAACCCCCAATGCTGTAAAGGGGTTTAGGGACTATAGTGTACTTTTGGAATTGTATTCAGAATCAAATCCTACAAGGACGTTGTAACTACCCAAATGCAACTAAAATGTGACATCAATTGTTTATGTAATACAGTAGTAAATGGTTCTTATGTGGTTTCTTCATTCTTCCTTCATTGGCCACAATTATTCAACCCCTTAAAGACTACCACTCTGATGAGAACAGAGGTTCATACAGGTGCTTTCCATCAGGTATTGAAAACACCTGTGGATGTCACCGAGCAGCAATCAAGCATAATAAGCACCCAATTAAGGCAGCTTTAAAATGACTGTGATACTCAGCTCCTTCTAGACATTTACTGGTGTGGTTACAAACATGGTGAAGGCAAGAGAATGGTCCAGGAAGACAAGAGAAGAGGTGATTTCTCTTCACAGGAAGGGCAAATGGCTATAAGAAGATTGCAAAGATGTTAAACATACCAAGATGACAGACACCTTAGGAAGCATCATTCGCAAATTCAAGGCAAAGGGCACTGTTGAAACGCTACCTGGTCGTGGCAGAAAGAAGATGCTGGACTTCGACTGCTGTTGCGCTACCTGAAGCGTAGAGTGGAGAGAAGTCCCCGTGTGACTGCTGAGGAAACTGAGAAAAGAATTTGTCAATGTGGGTACAGAAGTTTCAGCCCAGACAATAAGACGACCACACTGCGTAATGAAAGGCCTCCGTGCCAGAACGAAGCTCCCAGGCGTACCCCCTTGCTGTCTCCAAAGAATAAGAAGAGTCGACTGCAGTAT